AGCAGGTTATTTCTGAGCAGGTGCTGCTTGATAGCACTGTTGATGACACCTTCCATCACTTTACTGATGATCAAGAGTAGACTGATGGGGCAGTAATTGGCTGGGTTACATTTGTCCTGCTTTTTGTGTACAGGATATACTTGGACAATTTTCCACATTGTCGGGTAGATACCAGTGTTGTAATTCCTGGAACAGCTTGGCTCGGGGAGCAGAAAGTTCTGGAGCACAAGTCTTCAGTACTATTGCTGAAATGTTGTCAGGGCTGGTACCCTTTGCAGTATCCAGTGTCTCTAACCGTTTCTTGATATCACGTGGAGTGAATTGAATTGACTGAAGAATAGAGTCTGTAATGCTGGGGACCATGGAGGAGGCCGAGATGGATCATCCACTCGGCACTTCTGGCTGAAGATTGCTGCGAAAGTTTCAGCCTTATCTTTTGCATTAATGTGTGAGGGCTGAGAAATGAAGCTACGAGCCCTTACAATGTGTCCTGTGTAGACACATGAGATGGCTGTGTGACCCTGTGCACAAACTGGCATGGCAGGAGCATGAAAGTCAAAGGTGTTACTGAGCTCCAGAATGAAGTTTTGAAGGACTGGTTGGTCCAAGGTTAGTCAGGATAATGTGATGAAGCTGGTGGTTTGCTGATGCTGCTTACAATGGAGAATGTGCAGACGAGGCACGGTTGCTGAAATATTGAAGGGCATGTTGATGAAGAGAATGTTAAACCCAGAGAAGGAAGTGTAAGTTGCATCAGCAACATAACAGGTCTGATTTTCAAGGTGGGAATTATTGCTGTTTAGTTTCTTGAGAGAGGAGGGGAGGATTACAAGTTGCATATCATTGAAGTGAGTTGAGGTATTAATGAGATGCAAATGAGATGGAAATAAGGCATCCAGCACTCATCCGTGAGATCTCACCATTATGAGAAAGTTGGAAATTCTTTTCTCGATGTACAAATCGGATTTTCTCATTCTCACCACATTTTTTGATATTTCTAGCCATTGCCTACATCGCTTAAGGCCTTAAGTTTCTGCCCTAAGTTATCTGTATTTTAGGTCTGCGCAATCCTTAAGCAATAGCATGTTCTTGCATTTAGTCCACTTATCACCAAGCAACTGCTCCCTCTGAGAAACACACTACCGATGATTCAGTAAATAGTGAAATTCAATAATTAGAAAATTTCAGTATCAACAAAAATTCAAAGCAATTGCACACTTTTGCCCAAGAAAAAGTAATCACTCAACATGGAACTCAAAATGATAACTGTAGGATTAACTATTTTCTACCAATGCAGCTAGCAGGTTTGTTCAGAAATTTCCTGCAGAAAGTCTTAACAGCCTAAAGAGACAGAACTCACAAAGATTGCAATCTGAGATTGCAATCACATCAAGATGGAGATCGGGCATGAATTGTTGATAGACTTTTTAAATGTCCTACAATCCTACCCTGAAATGCTACAGTGCAATTCCCAACATAATACTCCTCACTATACTATGGGCATGTTCATACATGGGGCTGACAGGTGGGTGTTGAAAAGAAATTGAAACGAATAGCCTGAGTTTAAAGACAGCATTTGAGTCTGAAATTATAATGACGAATCTCCTGAGTTATTGAAAATAATCAAAGCAATGGTGCCAATTTCAAACTTTAATCTGCATTTTAATATGTAATCATAAAAGTAATAAAGCATTGAAATCTCGTAAAACATATTCTTCAAACACAATTCACAATAAATCCCAGGCAAGATTGAATGATAGCTTCATTAAGAAGTCAGTATTTCTCAGAAAATAAGGTCATAACAAAATAATCATTTCCTATATGAAGGTGAAGTAGATTTTTGTGCAAACCCCACAAGAAACAGGCAGAGTGTTGTGGATTTACTGAAATAAAGGTGTTTTGCGTGATTGGTAACTGAGTAATTGGAGCTTACCCTCTCTCGTTTCATTCCATTGAAATCTATTCTGATACAATCATTGACCTTCCATCCAGAAAACAATTCTGATTAGGAAAAACATTGCTTTACTTTTTGATGCATAGTATTAATCCCAGATGATGCAGTCACATATGGTGAGATTTTTCGTGTGATGAGAATACGAGGCAACTGGGAACACTACTGATTTTTACAGACTGCCAGCAAGATTTTCAGGGTAGCACCACATTGACTCTACATACATTTATATAAGGAGCTTGTTTGCATTTGACAAGATGCCACATGAACGGTTATTGTATAAACTAAGAATTTAAGGTATGGGATAACATCTTAGCATGGATTGAGGATCGGTTAGTGAACAGGAAATGGAGATTAGAGACAAATGAGTCATTTTACAATTGGTAAGTTGTCACTAGTGGAGTGCCACAAGGATTAGTGCTGAGGCTTCAACCATTCACAATCTTTATAAACGATTCAAGAAAGGGACTGAATCTGGTTGTTATTTTCACTGATGACACAAAGATAGCAAAGTGAATAAGTTGTAATGAGAACATAGGGCAGATGGAAAGGGATATAAGTAAGTTAAGTAAGTGGGAAAAAAAGTTCCATATGGAGTATAATGTGGGAACTAGTTTACTTTGGCACGAAGAATAGAAAAGCCAGTATATTTAAACAGAGAGAAATTGAACAACATTGTGGTAAAAAGTGATTTGGGTGCTCTGATAAGTGAATCACAAAAGACTGGTAGTCAGGACCAGTAAATCACCAGGAAGACAAATGGAAGTTGGCGTTTATTGCAAGAGGAATCGAGTGTAAATGGAATGAAGTTTGTAACCAGTGTGCAAGTCACTGGTGAGACCAGATTTGGAGTCTAAAGTACTGACTGCAGTTTTGCTGTCCTGTCTTAGAAAGGATATAATTACATTAGAAGCAGTTCAGAGGAGGTTCACCACTGATTCCTGGGATGAAGGGAATGCCTTATGAGGAAAGATTGGACAGTTTGGGCTTGCGTTCATTGAAAGTTAGATAATGAAAGGTAATCCTACTGAAACTGATAAGATCGTGAGGTGATCTTGACATAGTGGTTGCTAAAAGGATGTTTTACTTTCTGGGAAAATCTAGAACCAGGGGTCACAGAATAAAAACTAAGTGGTCTTTGATTTAAAAGAAAGATGGGGAGAAATATTTCTCTTAGATGGATGTCAGTAAGTTGAATCTTTTCCATGAGGACACAGAGTTATTGATTATGTTTAAGACTGTGTTAGATAGCTTCTTTATGAATAGTCAAAGGGAACATGGTAAATAGGAAAGTAAAGCTATCAGATCAGCAATTATCTTAACAAATAGCTGAATAGGCTTGTTGGGCCAAATGGCCTAATCCTGCACCTTATTTGTATGTTCCTTTGTTTGCATGCATGAAGTATTTTATGTTGACCAATAATAAATAGATATTAATAATTCTATAATGAATATTATTATGCTGGTGTACTGCTATTGTTGGCATCTGGGATCCGACCAAAATCAATTAATTCACATTTCTCTGCACTGAACTCCATTTATCATCTATCTACCCATTCCACCAACCAGACTATATTCTTTCTAAAGTCTATACTATCCTCCTCACAGTTCACCACACTCCCAAGCTTTGTATCACCTACAAACTTTTGGAATTGTGCCCTGGACACATACAGGTTTGGTCATTGATATGTAATGGGCCAAGGGTGACAATTCTCAACAATGGGACACTCCTAACTTTCTATTGGTTTAAAAATAATCAATTACTGGCTATCCTGTTTCCTGTCATGCAGCTAATTCCACAGGACATTGCTATTGTCCCTTTTATTCCACAAGTGACAACTTTGCCCGCAAGTCTGTTGTGTGGCATTGCATCACATGATTTCTGGAAGTCCACATAAACCACACAAACTGCATTGCCTTCATCAGCTTCTCTTCAAAACCTCCAGCAAGTCATTAAACACGATTTTCCCTTAAGAAATCCATGTTGGCTTTCTTCAATTAAGGCACATTTGTCCATGTGACTATTAACTTTATCTCATACTATTGTGTTAGAAGGTATCCCACCACTGAAGTTAAACTAACTGGTTTGTATGTTCTTATTCACCCAAGAATATTAATAACTATTCATAAACAAATAAAAAATACAAGCGAGGTTTCAAGCCAGTCATTAGCATTCTTAAATATTATCAAATAAGACAACGTTTTATCATAGTAATTCCACTTCATAAATCTGTCAGTAACGATCAATCTAGCAACAAATAAATGATCAAGTCAGTAAATCGCATTAAAACTTCGAAATAAAAGTGTCGCAAGGTTTGTGCAGGACATTGGTCCCAAGTTACAGCGAGAGAGAGAAAGAAACATGATTAATAATTAAATACAAATGAAATCATTGCAAGATGTAAATGTTCAAAATTGTTACAATGTGTGATTCAGCAACATAAAGAAGAAACTTCTCAGTGAAATAGATTTTGTATATTAAAGAAAATTTTGAAACAGTCTTATGTTTTTTTTTGCATTAAAATATGTTTAAAACCAAAACAGAAAATAGTATGTAGGTGGGTTCTGAATGTATCAAAAAAGAAAGACGCTGCAATCTTAAATAGAAAAGCATAGACTGTGCAGCACAAAACAGGCCATTCAGGCTAACAGGGCTGTGCCACTGATTATGCTGCACATGAGCCTTCCTCTTTCTCATCTAACTCTTTTGGCATATGGCTGCAACATTCTTGGACAATGTCTGACAGCTTCAGTATCATGTTCAGCTGAAACAGCATGAACACAGTTTGGACTCAATTGGTAGGAAATCTGTGCACATGGAAGGGGTGACTTTCTTTGGTCTTTGGTTCTTCCAGTGCACAGCTTCAGGGGCACACCAGGAATTCAGGTACATAACCCACATCTTTTTCTAACCGTGATGGAAGCTTATGGGGCATTCGTAGAATTCCCTGAATACGTCCCTGGTGTGCTGCTCTGTGCTGGGAAATTAAAGATGAAAGTTTAACATTGTGATTCAGAAATAGATAGGTGCACATTTCAGTTGTCTTCATTAGATGGTTGTATTGTTACTTGTCTTGCTGACTGTATGATTGGGTGATCGTATTAACATGCAGTACCACAGGAATATGAAAAACCCTGCAAGCAAAACAAACCATTTCAGGAACTAGTTTCAGTGTTTATATAAAGTATGTTAACATTCGTAAATATATTTTAAGTGATTATTCATTAAAGAGCTTTATAATTAATTGTAAGATGGCCTACATTAATTTGATAGTCCAGAATAAGGCATATTGGTCCATTAATGAATGTAAATTAGGAAATTATTTTTAGTGTTTATGCAGTTGATTTATTATTTTCCATACCAAGAATGGTGGTCTGATGAATTTCTCTCTCCTTTCTACCAATGACATGGAAACATAGAAAATAGCAGCAGCGGTAGACATTCGGCCCATCAAGCCTGTTCTGTCATTCATTCTGACCATGGCTGATCACCCAACTCAATGGTCTATGCCTGCTTTTCCCCTAAATCCTTTGATCCCTCTGTTCTCAAGCGCTATATCCAACTCCTTCTTGAAATCAGACAATGTTTTGGCCTCGACTGCTTTCTGTGATTCTGAATTCCACAGGCTCACCACTCCCTGGGTGAAGTTATTTCTCCTCATCTCAGTCCGAAATGGCTTATTTACCCCATTAGACTGTGACCCCTTGTTCTAGACTCCCTGACCAACAGGAACATCCTTCCTGCATCTAGCCAGTCGAGTACTATTAGAATTTTATAACACTCTTTAAATGCCCAGACTGGCCCAGGCTTTGCCCGTTTTATAGTCTCCTGGTGTAGAATCATGAGACTTCAACTTAATGTATATCACGACAGAGTTTGAGCATTTGATAAGTGGGGATATGACCAATGGTCCAGTGTTCAAAATACACAGAGGTGTTCGGTGAACCCCCTCCTAGAAACACTCGAAATAGTTCAATCACAGGGGTGACCATTCAGGGAAAAGTCATCCCTGTATGTAGAATGGACAGAATCAGCAAAGATCTCCTCCTCCAATCACAGACTGGGTCTCTCCAAAAAGCAGAGAGAACAGCAGAGAAACAGCCTCTGACTGGAGGAACTTAGAGAAAGTGAGTGGCGTCAATGAGCAAAGCTGTCGGGCCAGAGGAAGTGGGGGTCCTGAGGTAACAAAGCTAGGGACTATGGGAGGGACAAGAGGCAGCTGGGTGAGGCTGGTGACCTGGAGCAAGGTTGTTGGATGGAAGAGGGATGGGGAATGCACTGTGAGGCTGGGGAGGGAGAAGTGAGGACAGAGACAGGTGCGGGGGTAAGGTTTGGTGACTGGAGGTTGCAAATGGGACAAAAATCTTGCAACAGTGGGAGAAGGCATGCAAAGGGGGAGAGAGGGTGCAAAGGTAGAATTCACGGGAAAGGATGGGAAAATCTATAAAGTAGAGAGATGTTCACAAAGGGGAGAGAGTGGCTGCAATTGGGAGCAAGCTGAGAAGAAAGTCTTGAAAAAAATATTATTTTGACTTCAGGTCTAGTCAATACATACAGTACCGGTAATAATCTGACTGACCTTGGAGAGGGTTCAGGATGCAGAACAGGTACATTGCAGGTTCACTCTGAGGTCCATGTGAGAAGAAAGCTATGCCATAGGTAATGCCCAGTAGACACGTCAACCCGAGTACAGTGAATACACTCTTTCTATCTCTCCCTTTCAATCTGAACACCTTCACACACACAATTAGCAGCATGATAGAGTTACCCAGGAACACAAGTGCAAAATATGCAACATTTGTAACGTAATGCACTGTCTTGTTTTTTATCCAACACCTGTTGAGAGGACATAAAATATTTTAATTACGATCCATAAAAATATCCCAAGAAGAGTTTATGCAGAAAGAGGTGATGGTGTCACATTCACCCAAATGGGGAAGTGCACATTTCAATTGGTCAATCCTTCTGCCACAGGGAGGAGGGGGTCAGCTAGCTCAGTTGGCTGGCTGGATTGTTTACAATGCAAGATGATAATAACAGCATGGGCTCAATTCCCACACAGGCTATGGTTACTATGAAGGACTCTCTTTCTCAGCCCTGACCTTAAACATAGTGACCCTCAGGTTAAGCCACCACCACTCATCTGTTTAATTAGAGAGCAGCTCTGTAGTTGCTTTACATTTACATGCAGAAAAAACATTTAACTCTGATTGTATTGCCTACTATTTTAACAGCTACTGGTTAATGTGTTCATTTAGCATTTCTTTTTGCAGTCTTTTCACAAAATCATTAACTAATTAAACAATTTGAGGGTGTTAATAATTGAATTAAATAACGTGTGAATTTACCCTGAGGGTTAATTAAGTCAGCAATACAGTCAAAGCACTAGCTGCCTGTACAAGGCATAAAGATGAGTTTTACTATGTAAAGGATTAATGATTCAAGCAGTGTGACTTATATTGGATCACAAGCTGTACTTACAACTCCATTCACGCATTCTCTGTTCGACAGAAGCTGAGAAATGACAGGTGAATATCATTGAGTTGATGTTCAATACCATTTGCTGGCTGCTGTTTTATCATCAGAAGTGACTCATTTATATTAAATAGTTTAATGTTTCAGGGAAAATAGTAAACAGAGGAATGTTGAATATGCATTAAACTTTTGTGGCTGTTCTCTCCAATAGTAGTTTTTGGTCTAGAGAGTCCTTTCAAACATTCTATGCTGACAAATGAAAATTCTCAAACTTGAGTTCTTAATGGATCAAAATATTCAATGAGGAAATACAAATGTAAATGCTTTTTAGTATGAATTGCTCCAAAAATACTGTTAAAAGTCAGGAGCTAAAATAAAGTGAATGAAATAAATGAAATGATTTCAACACTTGCCAAGGCATTATTGGAAAGTGAAGACTGAGGGAATAAGAAAGAAAGCTCTACACGACAATTTTCAAAAACTTATTTACATCTTTAAACAGGATTGGTGACTCTCAATTTTTGTTTGTATATACAAAAATAAGTTGGATTTATAAGTGGCCTGCAATAGTTCATATTTTTTAGCAAAGGTGCTTCACAGAAACATGAGAATAAAAATGAAACAAAAAACCTAAGGAGACATTTGAAGGTATGGTCAAACGTTTGGTGATTTTCAGAATTTAGTGAAGAATAGAAGCAAGTTGAAGGGTCTTCACGAGGCAATGCCAGAAAATGGTGAGGCAACGGGAGTAAGGAATGCTCAAAATGGTAGTTCAGGGGAGTTGTAGGGAGGGAGGTATTTCCAACAATATAGGGAGGGGAAAGGTCACGGAGCTTTTAATATGAGGATTACAATCTTAAATCTGAGAAGGAGGAAGATAAAGTGTCAGTGTAGATCAGTGAGAACAAGCGAAAGTGGATAATTAGGACTAGTTGCAGAAGGAGAAATGATTGCAGAGCTCTTGATGAGCTGAAGGACACGGAAGATGGAGAAAGGGAAGCTGTTTGGAAGAATATTGGAGTAGTCAAGGCTGAGGGCACCGCAGATATGTGAGGGTTTCAGCAGCAGATGGGCTGAGGAGGACGGGGGAGCCTGGGGAGGTACAAGTACAGAATATTGTGAGGGGAAACATTTGCAGTCAGAAGCTGAACCTGAGGTGATAGAAGAGACCAAAATTTTAACGATCAGCTTGAGGCTGTGCAGCCAGGGATGGGAATAGAATCAGTGGTGAGGGGACACAGGTCGTGGTTGGGGCCAAAATGATGCTTTCAATCTTTGTAGACTTGCTTTTACAATAATGTCAGCAAACTCCTAGCTCAAGAGGGTGACCCACAATTGGATTCAGGGGTAAGGTCACAGGTTAGTGAGGGAAGCCATTGTTAGAAGTGTTCTGGCTATGGTAGGTAACAGCAGTCAAGTGAAGGAAGTCCCATGGAGGTGGACAGTAGACGAAATCTCAAGGAGATTCATTCACACCTCCTGTCGTTTCAAACTTGCAGCAGCTGAATGGATTTGATAAAAAGGAGGCAAATAATTATCACAAGAAAAGTTGCCCAGTCCGGATGGGATGCATTCTAGATTACCAATGAGATCAAGGGTAGAAATTAGCAGCGGCTGTAGTCCCATTCTTCTCTTTGGATGTGGGAGCAATGTCAGGATACTGGTGGATTGCTCATGTTGCAGCCCTGTCTAAAACAGAAGCTGGAATAAACCCAGTTACTACAGGCCGGGCAGTTAATGTCAGTGATGTGAATCTTTATGGACAATGTTTTGGACAAAACGGAATTGGTATTTACTGGAGTATTGGTTCATAAGTGGAAGTTAGGAAGTCATTTGAAAAAAAAAACGTGCATTTGACTAACTTGATTGAGTTATTCAAAGTAACAGTAGCAGGTATACCACAGTGTGAGCTTGCTGACTCGGACATTGGTTGTCAACACAATTCTTTGCACACTCTGGATTATTTAGCATATGCTGTCCAATTGCAGAAACTTATCTAATGTTGGACGTTATGTTGTGAGTTTTACAAGTGTGGGCTCATTATGTGTTCCTGAACCTATATGCCCTGTTCTCTGCAGACAGAAAGAACATGTACACCACTTGCCTATTTCAACTCAACAAAATGGGTAACTGCCATTCTTTGGTTTATTTCTCAGGGCAATGCCATGACCAACCAGAGTCAACCATGCCTGAATTGGCATTTAAACAAGGCTTGGTATATGAACCATGCAAACATAAGAATTAGGAATAACAGTGGGCCAATTAGCTCCTCAAACCTGCTGTGCTATTCAATAAATAGACTGATTGCAAAATCAAATTGCCATTCCTGCCTCCTGCTGATAACCGTTCATTCCCTTCCTTAACAAGAATATGTCTATCATTGTCTTAACAAGATTCAAGGACAATGCTTCCACCATCTCCTTTGGGAGAGAGTTCTAAAGACTCACAACCCTCTGAAAGGGAATAAAAAACAGCCTAATCTCCATTGTAAATGGGTTACACCTGATTTTATAAGCGATGACCACTGATTCTAGATTTTCCGTAAAGGAAATATCCTCTCTGTATGTACCCTGTCAAGCCCCCTCAGGTTCCCTTTTACCTTTCAAGCAAGTCACTTCCCCCTGTTCTAAACTCCAGTGGATTTTTCTTTATTCATTCACTGGATGAGGGCATTGCATTTATTGCCCATCTTTAATTGCCCAGAGGGCACTTAAGAATCAATGACATTGCTCTGGATCTGGAGTCACATGTTATCCAGACCAGATAAGGATGGCAGTTTTTTTTTCCCTGAAGGGCATTAGTGAACCAGATGGGCTTTTCCCCAACAAGTGACAATGGTTTCATGGTCATCGTCGGACTCTCAATTCCAAATTGTTTTTATTGAATTGAAATACCACTATCTGTGGGACTCAAACCCGGGTCCCCAGAACATTACCTGGGTCTCTGCATTAACAGTCCAGCAATAATACCACTAGGCCATTGCCTTCCCTGTCCAACCTTTCCTCACAAAACAATCCTCTCATTTCGCATATCAGTCCTGACAAAACCTCTCTGAACTGCCTCCAACAGATTTACATCCTTTTGGAAATAAGGTGATCAATATGGGAATTTTGGAAAATTAAGACAAAATGCATTGATCATCTCACTAGCCACTTCTTTTATGGAGCCCATCAGCACCCGAGCTCTGGTCAGCCCATAGGCCCAATAATTTATTCAGTACCATTTCTCTGCTGACTGTGATTTCCTTCAATTTCTCCCTTCCTTCTATTTCCTGATAGTAATCATTAACTTCCCTAAGGTATTGCCTCTCCCAGACAGAGTTTACCCACTACCAATGACTAGCCTCCTCTCTTATAGTATAAATGTTGTTGTCCCGTAAAATTGGTATTCTTGCAAGTCGTCCTGACGGATGTAAGACAGAAACTTTGATAAGGTGTGTCTTTCTTCAACAATACAAAAGATAGACTGTTTCCAGAGGTAAGACAATATGTAGAGAGTAATGGGGAAAGAGTAGGCAAGTAAGGATGACTGGACAGTTTTACCAAAGGAGCTGCACAAGCATGTTAGGTCAAAGGGTCTCTTTCTGTACTGCATTATTCTATTTGTCAGTAACTTTTTAAAAATTAAATTATTAAAACATACATGTGAGAAGGGTTATAATTGCCAATGACAGGAATTGAATATCGGCCATAATTATCCATGTTCATTCCAATGATGATTAAAAGCATGCCAGCTGGGAGGCCTGGGAATACAAATGGTCATAGTTTCAAACATTACTGACATTATTCTATGATTTCTATTGGATAACATCTATTAATAATTTGAACTATACCAAGAATTACACTCAAAACCGATTTAATATTATCAATCAGGCTCGCAGTGTGATTTAGTTTCATGAGGTAGAAGCGATATTGATTCACACATAGGACCCTATTCTTTGTAGAAAAAAGATATTTGCCCATACATTGTATCTTCATCATTGAAGAAAGGGTTATGGAATTGTCAATCCATGCTGTTTTATCCATGACAATTCCTTGACTAATCAAAGTCTGCTTGCCTGGTCTAGTTTAAGCAACTAACTAAGAGTAACAGTTATGAGTTACTGCTACATCTATATCCTGAACACGGGTCCCATCAATCAGCACCAGCTTTTCATGCTATATAAGTTGATGGTTCTTTCTCAACATTGGTTTCTTGCATCCCAGTCCTGATGAGTGCAAAAGGAAATTGTTTCAACCTGATGAAGGGTCTCGGCCCGAAACGTCAGCCTTCTTGCTCCTATGATGCTGCTTGGCCTGCTGTGTTCATCCAGCTCTACACCTTGTTATCTCAGATTTTCCAGCATCTGCAGTTCCTACTACCTTTGTTTCAACCTGTGTCTACTTTAAGCAATATTTTAGTACTAACTTTGCGTAGCAAGAGTTCAGCCTGCTTTTGGAGAGGGGTTTCCTTGTCTCAATGCTGTTTCGTTTAGCTTGAAATGAAAATTCTTGGTTATGTTTTTCAAATGCACAGAAAATAAAAACTGACAATGTGTATAACAAGCTACTGAATTCACTCCAGAGCACTGGCTAAGTAGCTGGTATATATGAATTTCAGTCCCCTCTAGATTCCAGTATACTCGCGTGTCAGACAAACAAAGAGGTCGCTGACGTTAAGACTCAGACTTCAGATTTTGCTGGGCTGGATACTATACATTCAGTAGGGGCTCCTGCCTAGCATGGAGCTGACCTCTGCCTCTGACTGTTTTTCTGCTGAGAATGTGAGTACAGTCGGATATGAGCTGCCTGGTCTGTTATGGAGAGTGGTGACAGATTGCAAAGTGAAATCTGCTGTCAGAATCCTTCAATTCCTGCTATGGCAACAAGAAGGTGGCAGCGCTCTGAAGGAAACTTCTCAGTCATGACTCTGGGGTGCCTCACCCTTGACCTTTCAGCACTGAATTTAGAGTCCTAACAAGCAGCTTTCAATCAGCGAAATAGTTTATTGCTGCAGAAATCTCCCCAATTAATCACAAAAAACACTCTATCTATTAGCACCATTAATTCCACTCTCGCAAGAGGGGATGACCTCTTTTGATTGTTGCTGTCTCAGGGCTACATATCAAGGATATTTCATGCTGTGTTCATTACCAGCCGGAAGTAAACCTGGACTATCAAAAATCACTTTTATTCTCAGTGTTCTGCTCTGGGTCTGAATCTGTTCACTTCCCACCTTCACCAAGTTTGATCCTTAATCACACTTGAAATTTCACAGAGATTTCCTCCTGTTATTTTGACAGAGACAGCAAGAACCCCTAAAGAATAACTGTTTTATACTTTAGCTCTTTTTCGTGTAAAATGAAATGAATGTTGTTGCTACATGAGGTAGTGAGAATTAGACCATGCATTTACAAATAAGTCAGCAACAGATTACTTTGCACTCACCCCAACCGAGAAGGCAGAGTTTCAGCATGTAAAAACGAATGTAAGTGTTGAACACCTTGATCAGCATAAGGTACAGGTGAAATGCTTCAATTCCCATCCATGTAAAGCTACAAAGCAGTGAGTAATGCAGCAGGACAGCAATGGCTTTACAGAACTCATCAGTGCTGCTGAAACTGAACGCTGTGCTGGTTAAGAAGTTCACATTGAGAAGAAACAAGGCAGCAGAGAGATTCACGTGGATCTGGATGGAAGGTTCCTTTTGTCTTTTTCTGAATGAAGAGAAAAGGAACAGCATTTAGGAGAAAAAATTGCAAGTGGATAAACATTGACTTCAAAGACATCCTGCACCTGGAGATGCCTGAGGCAGGTAAAGCGCATGCCTATGGTCTGTTTCTATCACTCCCATCTCCTGGAGCAGGTTGATAGCCGAAGGGCATAGCTTAAGGGGCAGCTCTCCACAGTAAGGATGGCTGATCAGGAAACTCTCCCTCTCCGACCACCTGCTCTAGGTGTATTATAAGGACTTGCAGGTTTTGATCAGCCTGTCTGGTCATCAAGTTCTGGAGTGGGACTTGAACCCAGAGCTGCTGACTCAGAGGTAGTGACACTGCTTGCTGCAGATACGATCTCTGAACATGACATAGAAACATAGAAACATAGAAGATAGGAGCAGGAGGAGGCCATTCGGCCCTTTGAGCCTGCTCCGCCATTCATCACAATCATGGCCGATCGTCCAACTCAATAGCCTAATCCTGCTTTCTCCCCATAACCTTTGATCTCATTTGCCCCAAATGCTATATCTAGCCACCTCTTGAATACATTCAATGTTTTGGCATCAACTACTTCCTGTGGTAATGAATTCCACAGGCTCACCACCCTTCTGGTGAAGAAATGTCTCCTCATCTCTGTCCTAAATGGTTTACCCCGAATCCTCAAACTGTGACCCCTGGTTCTGGACACACCCACCATCGGGAACATCTTTCCTGCATCTACTCTGTCCAGTAGAATTTTATAAGTCTCTATGAGATCCCTCCCCCGCTTATTCATCCGAACTCTAATGAAGACAATCCTAACCTAGTCAGTCTCTTCTCATACGTCAGTCCCGCCATCCCCAGAATCAGCCTGGTAAACCTTCGCTGCACTCCCTTGAGAGCAAGAGCATTCTTCCTCAGAAAAGGAGATCAAAACTGCACACAATATTCAAGGTGTGCCATCACCAAGGGCCTGTATAACTGCAACATCACATCCCTGCTCCTGTACTCAAAACCTCTCGCAATGAAGGCCAACATGCCATTTTCCTTCTTTACCACCTGCTGCACCCGCATGCTTACCTTCAGCGACCAGTGCACAAGGACACCCAGGTCCTGCTGCACACCCCCCTCTCCCAATTGACAGCCATGACACACTGAGGTGCAATATGAAAGCAAATTGAATCACTACTCAGCCACAATATTCTCAGAATTAAGATAGAACATTAAAACAGAAGTAAGCTTTGTTCAATGAACTTGCTGTTGTGAATTACTCATGAGGTCTATCCACAAGGAGTTAATTGCTATAGATTTTCATTGTACAACCAGTTCATTTAGAATGGCTTCTTCTACATGAAATTTTATCTTTGATGATTGATGTTCATACCTGAGAATAAAGTGGATGATTAAAGTAATTACTGTGAAAATGCCAGAAACACCACAACCAATCCAGGTGATATATGTTAGTGATTTCAATATCTTCTCATCCACTGGTGGGTTCCCATCGATTTGCTTGATAAAAGAAAAGGAGAACATTGATATGAGTATTGGGTCATGTTTTCTTCAATTGAGTGATATCAGAGCAAACTGAGCAAGCTGGGCCTTCTCACTTTGAAAAGGTGTTGGCTTTGAGGAGATATGATGAGGACTGGGAATTTGCCCAGAGCTATTCCCACTCCATGCCAATAAATGTAATGGGTTGGGGCAGAAATCCCAGCGCTGCACATAAAATGGGTTTTCACTGCACTTCCGGAAAAGTTATGGCATCAGACCATGAGTCGATTCAATGAAGCTTCCAGTCCTAATGTTGACAATCCTGACAGGACAGGCAGTGAGGACGGTGTTGGGGGATGGGAGATGACATGTGGGAGGGCGGGAATCAGTATGGGTTATAAAGACAGACACTTGGGTTAGATACTCAGAAAGAATTCCCTTCACAAAAGTCATGAACATCTTTCTAGAGTCCCTACATTGTGGAAACAGGCCATTCAGCCCAACAACATCCCACACAGGCCCATCGCTCTACCCTATCCCTGTAACTCTGCATTTTTTTTATTCATTCAGGGGATGAGGGTGTTGCTAACCAAGCAGCATTCATTGCCCATCCCTAATTGCCCAAAGGGCAGTTCAGAGTCAACCACATTGCTGTGGGTGTGGTCACATGTGGGCCAGACCAGGTAAGGACGGCAGTTTCCTTCCCTAAAGGACGTTAATGAACCAGATCGGTCTTTCCAACAATCCACGATGGGTTAGAATCATAGAATCCCTACATTGTGGAAACAGGCCCTTCGGCCCAACAAGTCCACACTGAACTTCAGAGCATCCCACCCAGACCCATCCCCCTATGACCCACCGAATATACACCCTCTACCTCCCTGAACACTATGGGCAATTTAGCATGGCCAATCCACCTAACCTGCACATGTTTGGACTGTGGGAGGAAACCCACACAGACACAGGGAGAATGTGCAAACTCCACACAGACAGTCGCCCAAGACTGGAATCGATCCCCGGTCCCTGGCGCTGTGAGCAGCAGTGCTAACCAGTGTGCCACCCACAAGTTCATGGCCATCATTAGATTTTTAATTTCAGATACTTTTTATTGAATTCAAATTCTACCATCTGCCATGGCGGGATTCGAGCCCAGGTCCCCACAACTTTTTCCTGGGTCTCTGGATTAACGCTTCAGCGCTAATACCACTGGGCCATTGCCTTCCCTCTATTTCCAATGGCTAACATACCTAACCTGCACATCCCTGGACACTACGGGATAAGTTCGCGATGCCAATCTACCTGGAACCAGACCCAGGTTATTGGCGCTGTGAGGCAGCAATGTTAACCACTGTGCCACCGTGCCGCCCCTTTTATTTTTGAAGACAGAAATTTCTTGAAGAAATCCCCAGCACACATGGGGAGTGTGAGATTTGCTACAACCATTCCAAAGGGTGCTGGATGAGCTTTGGTGAGCGGAAGACATTTTGATCTACCCAAAGTGAGTGGATTAACAGCGGTTGTGCCACCAGTTGTCACTGTCTCATGGACCTATCAGGATCAGAGTGAAATTTACCAAAGCTTCTCCCTCAGATTTGGATTGTCCCTCAGATTAAATTTCTCTTGCGTCCCTGTAAAGATTAGATAACGCTGGAGGAAAGGAAGGGGGGAAATGGGTTTGAAGCTGAGGAGCTTGCTGCCTGTTAGGGTGTGACCGTCTTAATAAAACATTTGGTCTTTCTTGTCTGATTTTGTATCTTTATGTGCAATGAAGGGTTATTGTTATCGATCAAAGCTAAACTGGAATAGGCCAAAAGATATAAAATATTGCATTACATTGGTCCTACCAGCAAGACAGCGAAGAAGGTCAGGTGATTACATTTACAGATGACTTCATTGACTGTGTTTGCTGTTGTGCAGCCGGAATTGTTCCAGTGACCCTCAACTGTGTTCCCTGTAACAGAAAGTTACATCACTCAGAAGTCAATCCTTGGTTCCAGGGTAATTAAAATATTTGAGAAAATGACCTTCTTTATTACCATTTTGTTCTAACTTCCAGAAGACACATTTTGGAGTGACCTTTATCTAATATGAAAAAAAATTATCAATAAATCTTTACCACCCTTCATGTAAATATTTCCTTTTAATCAACTGAATAATGAAAAGTGAAAAATGTCCTTACCGGTGATGATTTGTTAAACACAATTATCACAGGGTCTGTCAGATGATCAAACGTACTGTGCCCCACTTGAATTCCAACCACATTATTTAAAATAGTTTGATTTTTAACCTGCAAAGATATACATATAGATTGTACCAGAATTTCTTGTTAAAATCAAAGCAAGAAATATAATGGATGGCAGCCCAGTTTCTGGATGAAGACAGACTCCATTAACTATAGTCGAATGCACAAAGTGTTTACATGGGGTGTTTGGATAGAAGTCTAACCCTTGTATTTTCAGTCATCCCATCTGTATGATGGACTGGAATCAATGGTTCTCATCTCCATCCAGCTATCACTGCTGGCTCGAAGGGCCACACCCTGTCTGAGTTGATAGACAAACCGTAATGAAAAGAGAAATGATGAACATTGAGGTGTATTCACTGACAGAGAAAAGAGTCAGGGCAGAAGGATTCCAAATGCCTCAAATAACCCAAATGTTCTGGACCAAGCGTGTGCCACACCATATTACAAGGACTATGGCAGTTGGTATATCAGCTATGGGTAAAATAGCAATGGTCCTTTCAAACCTTGGTTGGCAATGCCACCAGGAAAGGGAAACTTTGAATTCTAGCCTATCACTAGCTTGGAGCCTGTGCTAGGTTATTGGGTAACACAGATAAACTCCAGGGTGGAATCATTCGGAACAAACTGTATTCCACCTTAAAGCTCCACTATGCAGGCAGCAAAGGAAAAAATAAATCCACCCCAACTGAAGCTCATCTTGCAAGGTCCTGGAGTGTTTGGAAATGGCCTAAAACATTAGGTGAAACATAATATTGGAAGCTGCAGTTCCAAGTCTGCATTCAAGCAGCCCAGGATATTGTAGAATTTAATGCCTCGAGACAACATTGCCACCTGGTAGCTCCCTGAGTCGCCCAGCAGCCTTTTTGAAGGATAGTTCTCATTTCTCCTGAATTGGAGAGGGGCTTACAAAAGTGGGCCTAAACAAACACTTCTTTCCACACCACCCAGCTTGCCAAGGTCAATGGACATTTCTTAATGTGGCCGAACTGCGACAGAGACGAAAATACCAGCTCCAATCCTTCCCTTAAAAGGTTTGAAACTCGCTGGTTGGAATGTGAGAAAAATGCTCAACACCGGTGACACCAATCACCCCCAACGACGCTCAGCCGAGGTGGCCCATGTGCCAGCCAGACTCGATTTGATGTACTGGTCCCAGGTGAGGACCCCTTCCACCCTTCCAGCAGCTAGGCAGCCTGACAAAACAATGCTGGTGACACCCTCCATTGGTTGGGTTGACCGATATGAAGAGGGTCCCTTAGGTATTAGCTTCATGGCGAAGGAAACTGCTGTCATTGAACTGTCAATCAGCCATTCTGAACATATCATGTCCATGTGTCGCTCTGTCCAAGTCCAGCAACGTACAAATCTCAGAAGGAACAATATGAAGGCAGATTATTATCTGAATAGCCATCGATTTCGAAAGGTGGGTTGTAACAAGATGTGGGTGTCCACATAATCCAGTTGTTGAAAGTAAGCATTCAGGTGTAGCAGGGAGTGATGAACGTTGTGTTGTCCTTCATCGCGAGAGGATTTGAGTCTCGCAGCAGGAGTGTCTTGCTGCAATTGTACGGGCCCTTGGTGAGACCACACTTAGAGTACTGTGTGCAGTTTTGGTCTCCTTATCTGCGAAAAGATATTCTGAATATGGAGAGAGTTCAACGAAGGTTTAGCAACTTTATGCCTGGGAAGGTAGAACTGACGTTTGAAGAGAGACTGGATCGGTTCGGACTATGTACACTGGAGTTTAGAAGAATTCGGGGGCTGTCTCATAGAAACCAATAAACTTCTAACTGGACTAGACAGGGTAAATACAGGAAGGATGTTCCCAATGACTGGGGAGTCCAAAAACACAGATCATAGTTTCAGGATATGGGATAGGTCATTTAGAACTGAGGCGAGGAGACATTTCTTCACTCAATGACTGATGAGTCTGTGGAATTCTCTACCACAGAAAGTGGTTGAGGCTAAAATCATTGAACATTTTCAAACAGGAGTTAGATATATTTCTTAGGGCTAAAGGGATCAAAGGGTATAGGGAGAAAGCAGGAACAGGGGACTGAGTTGGATAGTAGAGCTGGCTTGAAGGATCATATAGACTACACCTGCTCCTAATTTTCTATACTTCTATCCTGCCCTAACATAAAAAGCACAGTGAGCAGGAAGTAGAGGCATTTTTGGTGGCATCCTGAAGTGTTACAATTGAGTTAAATTGACTGTTATGATCATTGCAATGGGTGGCTTAAACAATAAAATCGCTGAAGAAACATGGGGCAGCACAGTGGCTCAGTGGCTCAGTGGTTAGCACTGCTGCCTTACAGATCCAGCAACCTGGGTTCGATTTTACCCTCGGGCGATTGTCTGTGTGGAGTTTGCATATTCTCCCTGTGTCTGCATGGTTTCCCTCCGGGTGCTCCGGTTTCCTCCCACCGTCCAAAGATGTGCAGATTGGGTGGATTGGCCGTGCTAAATTGCCTGTAGTGTTCAGGGATGTGTTAATTAGGTGGATTCCAGGGGGAAGGGTCAGGGTCAGATGTTCCGAGGTTCAGGGTGGACTTGTTGGGCCAAAGGGCCTGTATCCACACTGTAGAGATTTGAACAAAAAGGAACATCAGAGCATATGTTAATCAGTATGATCTCAGATCACAAAATGGAAAAGGAGAGAGACTGACCTTGTTTTATCAAGAAAATGATGCAATAATAGAAACCATTTTCTTTAAGTAACCACATGAAACGATAGACTTGAGAAGTTGAAGCAATGTGTTTCGAAATTACATGGATTATGTGCTGTTGAAACAATATTTTAGAAAAGCATAAACAACATTTATGTCTTTTCCAGCTTGGATAGACATTCAGAAAATCCCAGAAAAGTAAAAGATGTATGACCATTTCGAACATCACATCTTTAAGAGTGAAAACCTGTGACAGGCATTTACTCTGAAAGTAAAAAAAACAATTGGAATGTTTCAGGATTGAATAACCAGAACAAACAGAGTTCTCGGGAGAAGAAATACACAGTAAATGGAAAAAGCATGGAAAAGAGCAAACAGCATGCTGCATAGAAAATGTGATCAAAACAGAAAAGAATGCAAGACCAGAACTGGATGACTGATGAGAAACCAGCAAGGATGACAGAAAGGAGAAAGTAAAAGACAAACTGGAGTATAATGAAATTGTAAAGAACTTAAAAGTTCATGAAGCCAGGCTAAAGATGCGTGATGAAATGTTGCAGCTGGAAAGAAACCACAAAATGAGAGAAAGAGAAATTGTTCACAGATAGAAAGGGATAACAACAAACACTGGAAGACAAACATGGTACAATATTGTTTGAAAGTGATGCAGTAGCAAGACAGAAGTGAATCGAATAATTTGAAGGATATAGATATAGAGGAAAATGCCAGACAAAACATTGGCATCAGAGGTGATAGAGTGCTTTGAAATTGATGAGTACAGGAAAAGCCCCGAGTATAGATGAAATAACTACATACCATTCAAAAGCCCCTGGAGAAATAGCATTAGAAGTTATAACAGGAGCTTAATCAAATATAGACCAAAGAATACATTCTCAGTTAGTTGAGATGTTCATTGTTCATTAACCAAGTAACCTGAAGGAAAGGAGATCTGTATGGAGTGCAATCTTTTTGGAATGATAATTTTTAAGTCATCTTATGAAAGAGATCTCAAAAATCATAATAAAAAGAAACAATAGCACATTTGAAGCAGACATTGGTGAAACACAATCTTGTTTTAGCCCTGGTGTAGGAACAAGAAATGGAATACTTAACCTAAGGACAATCTCCGACATATACAAACACGCCATCATGTTTATCGCCAACAAATTGATAGACGTGTTGCTGAAATGTAACACTGACAGTAAGGAAAAGTGATTTACCCAGAACCTGAGCATCAGACTAGAAGAGGGACAAATCAGATATATTTCACATTGAAGAGAACAGCTTGATAAGACTGTATAGTGGAGCCAAAATTATTCAATTTGTTCATAAAATAAATATTTAGAGAATTAAATGCACTTCCAGGAGTAGAAACTGGAGTCAAGTACCTAACAAACTTACAGTATGCTGACAATACTACATGCAGAATCAGTAAAGGGAAAATATAATAGAACAAGTGAAAAATTGAAGTTTAGAATATAGGTTGACCAGGGTTCAAGTCCCACCTCTTCTAGAGGTGTGTAATAACCTGTCTCTGAACACGTTGATTCAGAAATATCTAATACTGAGAAAACATCTAGAATTGGATTAAACATGAACACCACAAAACAATGACAGAAAATATTTGAAGAAACTAGGGCAATGTCACACTGGATAAGTAAAAAAAAATGTCTGTTTCTGACAAATGATAACCATAGATAGCAGATATGATGCAGAAATTAGAAGGAGGATAGAGATAGGCAGAAGTAATTTTGTGAAGATAATGGATAAGAGAACAACATGAAAGCTCAAACTTATAACAAGGCAAAAAAGATTGAAAAGGTTTCATCCTGTGCAAACTGTGCAGTTTCCTCTATGTTTCAGAAACCTGGACAATAAGTTAGGGGCTATGGAAGAAAACAGAGGCCTTTGGAATGTGGCTAATAAAACATATGCTCAGAATGTCATATAGAAACCATATTGTAAATGAAGAGGTGGTTGAAATTTCAAGAGTAAATAGAACTCTAAAACGTGACACCCAGAAAAGAAATTGTCAGTATTTCAGCTATTGGATCAGAACTAAAAAGTTACAGATCTCTTTTGAAGGGCAAAGTGGGAGCATCAGAAACAGGCATTAACCATGGCATACTAGCTGAAGGATGTCACAGAGTGGTTACAGGTGGGAGATTGTGGTTATGTGAAAATGATGGACAGCAGGTCTCCCAGGAGGATATGAGCAGTATCATGAGACCTCTCAAGTTTTGAAAATGTGCCAAGGATGTGCACTCACTCTTCCAACAGGAGCACAGTAGATACCATCTTTATCGAAGAGTTTTCATGTATGTACCTAATCACCACTACACAGGAGATAGATCATGATGTCAGTCAGTGAGCATTACTGATTTGACACCAGTGCTGCCACTTTAGAGTTCCAGCCTACACCATGTTTCACACTGGACACAATGTGAAGATCCCCACCTGTGCTACTTAGAGGTTTTGGATTATTGCTGATTTAATTGTAGGATTGCAGTGTTCCTTCTGGTTGATGCTGCAATTTTATGCATTTTGGGCATCTTTCCAGTCTTGTTAATAGATTCAGGGAGTGATACAGGGAATGATCTGGATGGTTGTGACATTTTTTGGTGGATTAAAGGCTTGTGAATTAATCATTTGCAATCAGATACGATGCGGTTTTATAAGGCTTCATCTTGACAATGAACATGATTGGGGAAAATGGACAGAAGAGTAGCTCTGAAGAAAAGGGAAAAGGCTTTCAAATAGACGCCATGTCAGGTAAGGGTGTTTCAGAAGTAATTCCTCCCTGAATCTTAGCGACGAAAACAATTTGAGACTATTTCACTGAACAGCTTGTGACTGCAATTTACCAACTGTTGCAGCTCAACCTCAGAGCTAAGCAAGGACAGTGTTAATAATGGCCATCAATCTCACTGTGGCTCTGAACTCTAAGGCTTCTGGATTCTCTGAAGCTGCAAAAAGCAACACCTTGCAGTTTTCATCATGTCACTGCATTGACGGAGATCATTAAGTAGGAGTGAACTTCAAAGGGAGTGAACATCATCCCAGTCCCTCTTGAAGGTGGACACATTGAAGGATTTCTTTGGAGTGCAGGCTTCACACAGTGTGGGTTTGTCAACAAACTCACACACGTTTCCTTGTGTATGATTCATTTTACGTTTTACCATTTCCCTGAGCTGAAAGTAATTCCACTTCCTCAATGTGGGTCTGGTGTGTGACCACAGGTAACTTATCTTTCAGGCACACGCCCATTATCCTGGCAGCAATTATGACACATTCATTCTGCAGCAGTGCTCTGTGCCAGCTGTGCCCATTATTCTGGCAAAGCAAAGGATGACAAATGATTAATATGATGACCAACTCATGATCTGGCTCGTCACTCCAGATGAGAATCTTGCACAGGTGCACATGACATTGAGAGTCATGCTCCCATTCATTGGGACAGACCATCGATGTCCTGAAGCAATATCCTGAACTGTTCTGAGAAGCCCAGCAGTATTCAGCTGAGCCGGTCTCAGTATTTTCCATGGTCTGTAGTACGTTTGTCCCCATGACAATGCCTGAATGCAAGATCAGACAATAGTCTCCTATAACAAACTCAGATGTAGACTTTGATAGACCATACTACAGAAGAAGGCAGCTGGGTTTATTGTAATCCAACATCACCATGAGGCATTTGATGTCACCTATCAGTTGAGAAGCTGAGGAACAGGTGTAAGAATGGGAAGGCCGGAGAGGAAGACAAGAAAGATGTTTGTTATGAGGCAGCCCCTTTCTGTCCAGGCTGAATGTGAACAAAGAATTCACTAGCAATACCAAGAATTTCAGCTCCACTTCCCATTTACCAAGTCACAGATTCCTTGTTGCTTCTTTTACTTTCCCCACAAAGCAAAAGGAAAAGCAAACATAGTGGCTGATGCTATCTACTCCAGGGCAGCTGAAACAAGCAGGTGCCTCTCACTCCCTCCTCATCTGTGACCCACCCTGTCCTGCAAGAATGAAGTGAGTTTGTCAGCGAGTAACATGCGGTGCTGATGCAGCTGTTCTGGTTGAATAGCTGTCAGTGTGTCAAAGTGGTGACGCTTGTGATAGTGTGAAGTGTGTGTGTGGATGAGGCAAAACATATCTGCATTAAGTCTTTGTCCTGACTGATGGTTCTTGTTGGTTTGTGGATGGTGGGTCTGTGGTGATTTGAGCTGTGATTGAGAGATTCTGTCACCTCGAATACATAGTGCAACTTTCAATTTCATTACCTCTTCCAACTGGCCTTCCAGTGCATAGCTGAAAATTTGACCCATGTTGTCTCCTAGGGTCAGCAAAGAACATCTCTTTTAGAGGTGGATACCAGCTTTAGACGATGCTTGGCACACACGACACTGGACGCCTTACTGATGTGTGTAGCCAATGATCAGCATCGGGGGGACAGTGGTTCCATGTAATAACCATGGAAATGAGGTAGCGCAATGTCTTGCCTCCACCTTAATCAGTAGACGTTGATTAATTGGACATCACAATCCTGTATCTGCATCCAATGGTGAGCCCATTCTGTCCCTGCAGTTATGATACAGACCATTTCCTGGATTTTCACACTAGGTCTCGCTTCATGCTGTCTGTCAAGGACCAACACTAAAGTGGGAGACTCAATGAATAAGAACACACTGTACTCTGGATCACTCTCAACTTCAAGGGCATGAAGGGCTATTAAGTACCTGAGATGATACCCTGGATAATTTTTGGTTGATTACACCTCTGTGCAGCACCTTGGCATATTGTTATCTAAATGCAGTCTGTTGTTGTTGTTGCATCGATTGAACCTGATGGAAACCTAAAGCTTGAAACTGTCACTCCCTGTTGTCGATTGGGAAAGGTAGCATTTAGGTGATTTCTAATCAACCTGTTTAGAGATGTTATTGCAAATATCTGAAGCAGGTTGGAGTTGAACCCTGGCCTCCTAGCTCAGAGGTATGGATATTACCACGGCACCACAAGGTGATATATATGTTTACTGTCACACAAAATGTTTTGTGGAGTGATGCATTGCAAAGTGACTGATATTACTGGCCCTCTGAAATACCCTGAAGCAAAAATATTTGACAGTTTTGTTTTAAAGCAAAGATTGTCATTTTCTTTTCCATTCCCTTCCTCCACCCTGCTGTACTCTGCCCATGTGCGGACTTGGAAGCCTTAGTATGCAAGATGATGTACTAAACTAAAACACAAATAAACATATGGTCAAAGCATCGATTCAGCACAGCAAGAGTTCAACAACTATTCAAATAATTCACAAAAAGAACTGAAACTATCTCCTGAATGAGCAACAAGCAGCAAGGTCCATTATTTTACACCCGTTTGATAAAATCCAACTGCTCAATACCTACTTAGAAAACTGATTACATTACCTGGAACAGTCTTGCATCCCTGAATAATAATACTTTACTTCGGACCATTTTCATTGCAATGTCGATGTTGTCCAAGAGAGTTGGTGGCAGACTGATCCTAACTGCTGGGTCAAAGGCAGAGATATTCTCCTAGATGTTATATTTAAGAAAAATAATACATTTAGTTAACTGAAAAGAATCTGCTAGGACATTTCCCTCTTCCCTTCAGGAGGAACATGCTGAAGGAGTTTCAAAGTTTTGGCCTTAAATCCCACTCTTGGACCTGAGCTCAAAAATTAAGGCTCACACACCAGTGAGGTACTGAGGGGGGCTGCATTGTTGGAGGGTCTGACTTTCAGATGGCATTTTAACTCCGGTTCCTTCCAGCAGCCTGGTTGGATGTAAAAGGCCCTGTGGCATTATTTTGAAGAAGAGCACAGGAGTTATCCTTCAATCAACGTCAGAAAACAGGTAACCTGGTCATGATCACATTGCTGTTTGTAGGAGATTGCTGTGCATCAGTTCACTGTCCTGTTTCCTACAACAGTATCTATACTTCAGAAAGTACTTCATTGGCTGTAAAGTGGTTGTGACTTCCAGTGGCAGTGAAAAGTGCCAAATAAATCCAATTTCTTCCTCTCCTTTAAAAACTGTTCACTTTTAGTGGAAATACTTGCTTTGAGGGCTCTTTATCAGCACTCATTGTATCTTCCACATCGTTGTAGGGTAACAGGGGCCTGGGGCCAGCATGGGCATCAGGGAAATGAGAATGCAACCAGAAAATAGAGGCTGATTTACAAAGTTTGAAATATAATTATGTCACCTTCAAGCTGTTTGAGCTCACTGCTTAAACTCTGCTTTTCTAGAAACTGGATTTGAATTCCAAGTGTTTTAACAGAGAACTTCTCAAGTAATTTTAATCTCATTCATCCCATATGAAACGGAGGTAAAGCAAGCTAATGTTTTATGCTCCATTAAAATTTCCATTGTATTAATTTCAGTTCCTCTCAACCTCCCTCCCCGTCAGTAATGGGGTCATTGAATCAGCTCCAGGATGGGACCCTGACTCGTTCTCTCATTTAAGATATGGGAGAGGAAATGTGAGAATGCGCAGGGTGGGGTGTGTGTGTGTGTACATGCATATGTGTGTATTTTTCATGTGCATGTGTAGATGTATCTGTGTTGAGGTGTGTGTATGTTTGTGTGGTGTGTCAGTGTGTGAGCCTGTGTGCATGCATATTGGAATCATTGTGACTGTCTGTGCTTGGCTGTGTATATATTTATGGGATGTGCATGTGTGTGTTGCATGCTCAGAGGTCTTGGTGATGGTGCAACACAAAATAAGTGAATGTTACACATTCAAAATTAGGAGTGATACCAGAAAAAGAGAAACTGCACTATGAAGGTGAGAAAGCGGGGAAGATGACTTACAGCCACTCATCCTGCCAGCAGAACTCTCACTGGAACAAAAGAAGATTTCAAACACACTCACTGTATCTGAATTAGGGAACTGGAGACCTGTAAAATTTTCAGCATCCATATCTCGCATGTAAAATATTACATTCTCTGTTTCAACAACTTGTCTTTCCCCTTTACAAGCTTCATGCAGTAATTGATTTTCCAAAACTGAGATGACTGAATGTCTGCAAAACATTGGCAAAGGAAGAATATTATTGCACTGATAGTAATAGAGGGCTGTAACACTGTAACACTGGGCTCATGATGACTTGCTGCATCAGAATGAATAGTTTTACAGGGTGCATTGTTCTGAGGCCCACACTGCACTCAAGCTGCCTGTCTGGGTGAAGGAGGTGAAGGAGAGACGCCTGAAGCCTGTGGTGAGGCTGTACAGCCAGCTCATTGGGATCTTTGTCTTCAGTGCAAATACAAGACTTCCCCAAGCTGTAACTAGACCAGTTTGGTCATTTGGAACGGGTCTAAATGTGAGGCTGCATTCCTGATTACAATAAATTCTTGCACTTTGCTCCTGTTAGCACCCTGGGATCTGCCCAGTGCCTTGAGCACTGCTCTAGGCCAAAGAATTCCCTGGTTTTGCTCAACGTCAGCCAGACGATGCTCAATGATTGTGTTCCCTATATGACATGCATCAGTCACATG